AAAAAAATATTTTTGTTTTTATATATATATATATATATATATATATATATATATATATATATATATATATATATATATATATATATATCAATGATCCTCCAATCAGCGTAATTATTTCCATCTGTTTTATTGTGTCTGGTTGCTTACTTGTAGGTGCGCGACTGTCGTCTGGTTGGTCTGCTTGATCTTGCCCTTGAAAAAGAGTACGTCAGGGGCAAAGTGGCTGACTTCATGAACAAGCTTATTGACATGGGTGTGGCTGGATTTAGAGTGGATGCTAGCAAGCACATGTGGCCTGGTGATGTGGACACCATCTACCGTCGTCTCAACAACCTTAACACCAAGTGGTTCCCAGGTGGTGCCAGGCCTTTTATCTTCCAGGAGGTAAACTAGAAAACTACACAAATTTCACAGAAAAAAAAAATAAAAAATCCTAATAGCCAGGCAGCTTTACTATTGCTCCGTTGGATTATGTATGACTATCACACGTAGGTAATTGATCTTGGAGGTGAGGCCATCTCAGCTAAAGAGTATTACCATCTGGGAAGAGTGACTGAATTCAAATATGGTGCCAAACTGGGAACCGTCTTCAGAAAATGGAATGGGGAGAAGCTTTCTTACACCAAGTATGTTGGCAAATTTTGTGGTGTCTGAAAGTTACTGAACAACATCAAAATATCAGTGATATCATTTGTACTCAAAATCCATAAATAATTTTGACATTAATGTTTAATTACCGTATTTCCATATGTATTTCACCAATGGATTCCCCAGAATAGATATGATGTGCTCATGTGTCCAGGAACTGGGGAGAAGGTTGGGGATTCATGCCTGATGGCAATGCTGTTGTCTTTGTTGACAATCACGACAACCAGAGAGGTCACGGTGCTGGTGGTGCCTCCATTGTTACCTTCTGGGATGCCAGACTCCACAAGATGGCTGTGGCCTACATGCTGGCTCATCCTTATGGACAGGCCAGAGTGATGTCAAGCTACCGCTGGAACCGCAACATTGTGAATGGAAAGGTATGCTTTTGTTTTGTTTAGAAAATGAAAAAGCATTTTAAAACATATTTTAAACATTATTTGAGTTGTTTCTATGTTGAGGAAAAAGTGTTGATTACAGGATGAGAATGACTGGATTGGCCCTCCCAGTAATGGTGATGGATCCACCAAGCCTGTTCCCATCAACGCTGACCAGACCTGTGGAGACGGATGGGTGTGTGAGCACAGATGGCGTCAGATCAAGTGGGTTCACAGAACACGTTACGTTTCATAGCATGATTAGATTTCTGATGATCAAATGGATTAAACAAAAATCTTTTCTTTCAAGGAACATGGTCACTTTCCGTAATGTGGTCAATGGACAGCCTCATGCCAACTGGTGGGACAACCAGAGCAACCAGGTTGCCTTTGGACGCGGTAACCGTGGTTTCATAGTTTTTAACAATGATGACTGGTAAGCATTTTATGAGACATAAAATTCTGTATATTGTATGTTGTTTTTTTTTTAGATCATTGTCTTCTTCTTTAAAAGTGAATCAGTTTGAACATTGCTTAAAATAATGTGTGGCCCATTTTTAAACCGCAGGGCCCTAGATGTAACCCTGAGCACCGGTTTGCCCGGCGGAACCTACTGTGACGTCATTTCGGGCCAGAAGGAAGGAAGTCGGTGCACCGGAAAGCAGATCCAGGTTGGAAGCGATGGCCGCGCCCACTTCTACATCAGCAATACAGAGGAAGATCCTTTTATTGCTATCCATGCTGATTCCAAGCTGTAAACTGTTAACTCCGAATAAAATTACATGAAATCTTAAATATGGATTGTTTTTTTTTTGTTATTGTTCTTTCACCTTTTTATGGCTGTTTAAAATTATACATGTTATGACACTCACGATGCCTTGATGACACATTGAATTGCATACCAAACTCTTCAATGACTTTGATAGAGCTCACATTTTGTGTTTGCAAGAGACCGAATGGTCACGTCCAGCATATCAGTGATATACTTGTCGAAGATCCAATGAGATTGTAAGGCTACTTGCTGTGATTGTGTCATGACGCGCAGATTGCCTACACCAGACGCTGACAAGTCTGACCGCCAGGGTTTAATATAAATTATTAGGTTAACAATGCATAACGTGTTAATTCTCCATAGAAATTCAAATCTTGAAATCAAGTTTATATCATGCCTGAGTGACTGTAGGACAATAAAGCTATTCCTCTGAAATGAGGATTGCTTAGATATGTCAGCGATTTGTCTTATGACTATGTTCGGTCATCAGGGGGAGTTGTATTACTGTTATACAGAAGCAGAGAGGCCGTCCACTTAAAATGACTCACTAGATAGTCCAGTATTCTCTAATCACACCCCACAAAGAACGGAAAGGTAAAGGTTTAGAACTGGCACATAGGTCATATGTGGAAATCACAGTTTCTGTAAAGAAAATTAGACTTACTGGAATGTCAACAAGAAACGATGAAAAAGATTTGTAGTGTCCTCACTTGGCTCAGGTGTGCAGTTTATGTAGAAAAACAAATGAGCAAAAATCTCATGCTTTTGAGTATGTCAGCAGACACTGTCCATAGTAAAGCAAATCTACACTAAAATAGCATTTTAAATGTGCGACAAAACTCAGCTTTTTAAAACAAGTTGGTAAATTATCAAGGACAGAATGCAGAATTCAGACCAACAGTAAACCAGCAAATTTTAGTGAATGTTCTTCTTTGATTACTCTTTTTCACAGAGGCAAAAGGTTATATTTGAATTGCAGACCAGCTTCAGCCTTTTATTTGCTTTTTAAGACTTTTGTTTGATATATCTTACTACATCCTCTTGCTGTTGAAATAAGTTACCAAACACACATGGGGCCAGTCTAAACACGCGTGCTCTAACGGGTAAGACCTACGAAGTGTGTCTGAATATACTACAGTTAGAACAAGGTTAAACAAAATGTTTAATGTTAAATTTTTGCTGCTTTTGTTATTTTTGTTACTGGCATATGTTGGCAGGAGATGGGATACAGTCTCTTTCTTTTTGCAGAAGCATGAAGCTGTTCATTTTAATAACCCTGTTGGGGCTCAGCCTCACACAGCACAACCCGCATTTCAAGCATGGAAGGACAACAATTGTCCACCTGTTTGAGTGGCGCTGGTCTGACATTGCTGCCGAGTGTGAGCGCTTCCTGGCTCCGAAAGGGTTTGGTGGTGTTCAGGTGAGCTGAGCTTAATAATCTGTTTGCGTTTTGGAGAAGAAATTGTTTATAATGGTGTCCTTTTTCTATGATGAATTTACTAAACGTTCCAGCTTGCGTAATTCACTAAACTCTATCAGTATTAAGTATTAAGCTTATGTTCCTTGACGGAAATTTTTGTTTTCTCTGCAATTTTTTTCCCAGCCTTTATATTTTTAACATGATTTTGTGTCCTCAGTATGAAAAAAATTGTCAAATACACATAACTATATTTTGGATCCATCACTCAGATTTCTCCACCAAATGAACACATTGTTCTGGACCAGCCATGGCGGCCATGGTGGCAAAGATACCAACCAGTCAGCTACAATTTATGCTCCACGTCAGGCAGTGAGGAGGAATTCATAGACATGGTCATCAGATGCAACAATGTTGGGGTAATTTTGGAGAAGAGGCCATTTTTAAAAAGCAGCACCTTCTCATAGAACCTAAATAAATAAATAAGTACCAAAAGCTTTTTGTTACATTATTTTCTACATTGTAATGGAATTTTTTTTTTTTTTTTTTTTTTTTTTTTTTTTTTTTTTTACAATTTTCTGAGTTTTGGTACTTCATACTTAAAGAATTGTAAGTAGTTAAGCTCATTATGTGTAATCATAAATGTTGAAAGACATTTAGAGAAATTGCCATGACTTGTTGTACACACATATTGCCAACAGGTTAATATTTATGTGGACGCTGTCATCAACCACATGTGTGGAAGTGGTGGTGGGGAGGGAAACCACTCCTCGTGTGGAAGCTGGTTCAGTGCCAGCAACAAGAACTTTCCAAGCGTCCCGTACTCTGCTTGGGACTTCAATGTGAACAAATGCAGAACGAGCAGTGGCGACATAGAAAACTATGGAGATATTTTTCAGGTAAAACATTCTTAAATCATTTTTCAATTAAAAAAAAAAGATCTAAAGTATCCACTGTAAGTATCTATAGCCTGTTGTGTAGGACAGGATATTAGTCACCAACACAACTGCTTGAACATTTTTACTTTAAAATCCAAAACATTTATGAAGCTTTCATGAATACAATAAAGTTGATCAATTCCATATTACTTAATTAACACTAATTAGGCTCTTTTAGATGGAATGATAACATAAGCACTGGTTGTCTTAGGTGAGAGACTGCCGTCTGGTCAGTCTTTTGGACCTTAATTTGGAGAAAGACTACGTCAGAGGCAAAGTGGCTGAGTACATGAACAAGCTAATTGATTTAGGTGTAGCTGGATTCCGAGTGGATGCCTGCAAGCACATGTGGCCAGGTGACCTGGAAAATGTTTACGGTCGTCTTCAGAACCTCAACACAACGTGGTTTCCCAGGGATTCCAAACCTTTCATCTTTCAGGAGGTAAAATTTATGTAATGGAATTTTTTTTTTTCCTTAAATGAAGAGATATTTAAAATGTCTAATATCGTCATATAGTATATATTGTGTTTTGTGTTGTGGCCAAGTAGTGTGAAGTAGTTGCCTCCTCATAGATTTAATCTTTTTTGTATATTTTGTCAAACTTAAATGTTTCAGATAAATCAAGTATCACAGTGCTCTAGTGTAAAAACGCACAAAAAACAAGCAGTGTAACATAAAAGGTTGCTAGGAAGAAAGATTCACTCCCGCACATTTAAAAACACTCCTTAGGACATAAGAGTATCACTGACTCAGTTTATCAGATCTTCAAAGAGACAGCAGCCTGAGGTCTTGAGTGCAAACACAAGATGAAGAGAGTTCACATTGTGAGAAAGTGCTTGCAAATGGTTTGGATCTTAAATGCCACTGCCAGGAAAAAAGATGGTTTTATAAAAGCTTCAGTCTTCAATGTGACTGTTTGAGCTGCAGCAATATTATTTGTTTAAACAGGTGGCTGCAATAGGAACCATGAGAAAATGAGGGAAAACAAGATGACATGCAAAATTCAGAAAGCAGATGTACACATGAAAACAATTATGGGATGGCTAAAACATTTACCAAAATATAAAAACATGACATTTATGATCCATCCCTAAAAATTACTGACACCATGAGGCTTTAACAGATGTAGAGTTTTGTATTTGTTTTAGCAAAATAAGCAAAAACATATTTCTTAAGTGAAAATCTAAATGTTTTGTTGTATTTGTGGCTTGGCACAGTCAGACTGAACCGTTTCTGGTCTACACGTTATTTATTTTTTTTCTTCCTTTGGCCCTCTAGGTTATTGATTTGGGAGGTGAGGCCATCTCTTACACTGACTATGTCCATCTGGGCAGAGTGACGGAGTTCAAATATGGTGCAAAATTGGGAAAAGTCTTTAGGAAGTGGGATGAAGAGAAACTGTTTTACACAAGGTATGCTTATTTCGGCAGATATACCAGCATTAAAAATTCTGATGTCCACTTATGAACTTTTAAATACAATTTTCTTGATTCTGAAATGGCATTGATGTACAACCCCTTCTTAAGCCAATCAGCTGTGACGATGTTTTCCTATGCAAATGAGCAGTTTCTGCTAAGGACTAGAGCAATTATGTTCTGGCACATGCAGGAAAAAATATCTTAAGATGAAATCGTAATTGCGTGATCAATCAAGACTGCATTCAGCATTAAAGTAGATGGGCCACATTTCAGAAATAGTAAGCTGTGTTTGTACCAGTCATTTAAATAATTTGTGTATTTGTGCATGTGTGTATATGCATGAATTTGCCGCCTTCACCTGTAGGTGCAAGGTTATTGGAATTGTGCAAATGAAGGAAATATTGTAACACCTCGCACCTAACAGCAGGAAACAGTAATAATAAATATCTGTTGAAATAGTTTATAGCAGTAATATCATGACTAAAAATTTGCTGGTATTTCTTTAAGAACTTTAAAAAAAAATCTTTTTCATTGTCTATGATGTTATCAGTTTCTATACGTTTTATCCAGGACCTGGGGAGAAGGGTGGAGCTTCATGTCTGATGGCAATGCCGTTGTCTTTGTTGATAACCACGATAACCAGAGAGGTCATGGGGCAGGTGGCTCATCCATCATAACTTTCTGGGACTCCAGACTCTACAAGATGGCAGTCGGCTACATGCTTGCTCACCCCTATGGAGTGACCAGGGTCATGTCTAGCTACCGCTGGAACCGAAACTTTGTGAATGGAAAAGTAACGTCTGCCAACCTTTATAAGTATCAAGCATTTTCCAGAGGCTTTTGTGTTTTACCTATTTTTCAAAACCAATAGGATCAGAATGACTGGATGGGCCCTCCAAGCAACACTAATGGATCCACCAAGTCTGTCTCTGTTAACCCAGATCAGACATGTGGAGACGGATGGGTGTGTGAGCACAGATGGCGCCAGATCACGTGAGTTCTTAAAGGAAGCTGCCAACCGTTCTACAAAACATGACCAAATTTGGCTTACTTTTACAGATGATACAAAGAAAGTTTTACATGGTAAATAATTACATATGTATTTTTTACATCTGCGTTGAAGAAATATGGTGATTTTCCGTAATGTGGTCAATGGACAGCCTCAAATCAACTGGTGGGATAACCAGAGCAACCAGGTTGCCTTTGGACGTGGTGATCGTGGTTTTATAGTTTTTAACAATGACGACTGGTAAGGACTGAAATTCTGCTTTTCCACTCCTTCACAGAACTATATATATATGTTTTTGGTTTTCATTAGCGGTAAGCCATATTCATCCTAAGGAACTGTAATGAACACTTGAAATATGTCACTAATAGAGTTACTGAAATAAGGTAGCTTTTCAATTATATTCTGATTTAAGACGCATTTCCATTCTGAAATGATGAAGGAAAGACAAAGAAATGTACAAAATATTAAACTACACTTTACATATGATATTATATTATGGTTGCTCTAATGTCACTCTGTCTTTGCCTTTAGGACCCTTAATGTGACCCTTAACACTGGTATGTCGGGAGGCACATACTGTGATGTTATTTCTGGTCAGAAGGAAGGCAACACCTGCACTGGAAAGCAGATTCTTGTTAGTCATGATGGGAACGCCCACTTCAAGATCAGCAACTTAGACGAGGACCCCTTTGTTGCTATTCATGCCGAATCCAAGATTTGATATGTGATGTCATTATTTAACCATTTTATGTTTACTGACCTGTCACCCACAGCAATATTCCTCAGAGTGGCACACATTTATTTGCTTTATTTCTAAATGCAAATGTTCAATAAAAAAGTGAGAACAAAAAAATAACAGTCCATATGTTTCACTCAAACCTCAAAACCAATGACATTCAAGCACATGCAGGATCCTATAAAATCAGTTAGGTATTATCAAAGCCACATACAGACAGTAACAAAGTCAGCCTTATATCACCTGAAGAACATTTCCCGGATTAGAGGACTAATGTTTCAGCAAGATCCATAGAAACTCATCCAATTGTATTGATTACTGCAACAGTGTCTAAACAGGTCTGACTAAAAAAATCTATTAGATGGGATTCAGAAAAACCAGGAACATATAGCACATCACCCCAATTCTTAAGTCCTCACTGGGTCCCTGTAGCTCAGAGGACAGACTTGAAAATATTGTTAGTTTATAAATTACTGAACAACTTATCACCATTATTTCTTAAAAATCTGCTGCTGTTGTATCAAACTTCCAGACCTCTCAGGTCTTCTGGTTCTAGTCTGCCCTGCAGGCACAGAACCAGAACCAAACATGGAGAAGCAGCATTCAGCTTCTATGCACCGCAAATGTAAAACTAACTTCCAGAAAACTGCAAAACAGCTGAAACACTGAGTTCCTTTAAACCTAGACTAAAAACCCACCTGTGTATAGTTGCTTTTAAACCATAAATGAAACACCGACCAACATTTTGAAGTGTAATGATGGCACTTGACAAAATGTAATGTTTACTGGTTTACAGTGTGACGTCTTCTCTGACTTTGCATTTTTATTATGTAAAGCACTTTGAATAGTTGTGTTGCTGAAATGTGCTGTACAAATAAACTTGATTATTATCTCTTCATGCTGTTTTTCTCCTAAAACAATCTTTTCACAAGCAAACATTCTAAAAACCTAAAACATGTATGTTCAAAGAATGCGTGTTTGAAACATGTCTTCTTGCAACCTCATTGTACTGAGGTATAGCTTATTTTAATTGACGCGTTTATAAAGTGCTTTCTATTGTGAGTTTGTTCTAACTTCATAAAAAAACATCAACATGTCCAATGTAAGTAAAGAAGGTGTACCTTTTGCTAAAACAATGCCTCTTCAAATATAGTCATAAAGCTAACACTATATAGTAATCAGTATCAATAATGTAGTGATATAGTAAATTCACTCACTTGTCAATGACGATTGGTCGAACCAGTGTGTCCACCTTCTCAGCTCAGTGTATTGCCACATTCATTTGCACCAAATCCTTTTCAGTGTTACAGTAAATATTACATATTGAATATTCATCTCGTGTTGCCCCGCCTCTCGCCTGGAACGTTAGCTGGAGATAGGCACCAGCATCCCTCCCAGCCCCACTAGGGATAAGGGTGTATAAAAAATAGATGGATGGATGGATGGATGAATATTCATGATTTTGTTACTCTCAGTGCAGATAAACGTTTGTATGAATAAAAACATGGCTGTGTCCTGCAACTCAATCTTAGAACACAAAAGAGACACTTACGTTGAACTCCCTGCCAATGTCCCACACTGGGACATCCAGTATGGGACGGCCTGGGGTGTCTCTGACGTCATATGGTGGGGGGGGTTTGCAGCGCATTGCAAAACATTTTACCAATCTCGCCACTATCAGCTGTGAACCTGCAGGTGACAAACTCCATCATACACACCCACACAAAGCAAACACTTATTTCAAGGAATATTTGTCCGGAATATTTGTCCGCGAGACGCCCACTCACAGACAAATAGTCCAAATAGTTGAAGGCCATGCAAACACAGCCAACTTTTAGATGAAATTTTGCATGCAAGAATAGAGAAAAATGTGGCAGTATATCAGAATCCTTAGTGGAACATTAGTGCTAAGAAGTTACCAATGTCGTAATTTCACTTTATAGAAGGTTTTCCAAATTTGAAGTAAATCATGGAAGCAGTAGAATATATTACACTTTAATGGGGTTCAAAGACGTCTTGCTTGTATGTATTTTATAAAGAAATAATAATCCAGACCTCTCTGTTTAGAACGTGTTTTATAGCTCAATATCAAACCAATGTTTTATTCAGAAAGAGAAGGCTTTACCCTGGTAAACCTGTTCTGTCATTTTCACAAAACTGTTGTGAACATTTATTTATTTATTAATTTATTTTGAACAGACAAAAGTAAAATCAAAAAAGAAGAATAAAACAATTTATCATGCCCTAGTGACCTGCAATTTTATATTATCTGTTCAAAAGGATTTAAGAAATTAAATGTTGCCAGTATGGTTGGTCTGACGTTGGAGTGAAGTTGTTACACTATTCACTCCCTGGAAAATTGACAAATACTTTCTGACTTTAAAACCTTTGTTAAAAATAACTCCCAATACTTCTCAGTCCGTAAATATTTTTTGCACTGATGGCTAAAATGTTGCTGATTTGTTAATGCCTTGCTGAGTAAGTGATGATGGTGCTGTAGCAAACTAAAACAAATAAACAATTAATTTTAATTGATTAAAATTAATCAATTAATCTTAATCTGGACACTTTCCTGATAAATGGACCAAGAGAACCATACTTACTGTGTACATATGTGTGCCTGCATGAGAGCGGAAGAACAAGAAATTAGGCACGTCTAATCTGCTGAATGCCCCATCCTGCCTTTTATCCAACACACTGTGACCCAGATAAATTAGCACTTAATATTAATCAACTTCATAAAAAAAAATCTTACTCATATACATCGTGTTTAGATTCCCACCCTGCATCAGTACTGGAGCTATTTTTATTATCTGAGAAGAGCAAACTGATAAAATTGCACCTGCTAAATCCCCAGGCTTGTACCTGTCAGTTTTTCATTGGTTAAGCAAGATAGGAAAATATATAAATGCTTGCAGTTTGGTAAAATGTGTGTGTGTCCAGTTGTCTCAACAATGAAGCTGATCATTTTGACAGCGTTGTTTGGGCTGTGCCTCGCCCAGCACAACCCCCACTTCAAGGATGGAAGGACAACCATTGTCCACTTGTTTGAGTGGCGTTGGGTCGACATCGCTGACGAATGTGAGCGCTTCTTGGGTCCAAAGGGATTTGGTGGTGTTCAGGTATGTGTTGATGAACATGAGTGTATAGCATGATTTAGCTCTAAGTAATACATTCCTGATCAAAATCTTAAGACCCGCAAAATTGCAAGAATTTGCATTTTGTACTATTGGATCTTAAGAAGGTTCTAAGTAGAGCTTCACAATGTTAAAAGAAGAAATCAGCGTAAGAGACAAACACTTTTGAGCGGGGAATTAATTGAATTACATTTACACTCAAACATGATTTTTTTCAGCTGATCAAAAGTTTAAGACCATAGTCTTTAAAAGCCAAAAGCTGTGCAAAAATCTGGATTCCATGTCATTTTCTGTCAAGTCTTTACACTGTCAAGACCTCCTGATGGCAAAAGCAAAAAAGCTCACTGACTTTGAACGTGGTAGGATTGTTGAGCTGCATAAGCAAGGCCTCTCACAACGTGCCATCGCTGCTGAGGTTGGACGCAGGAAGACAGTCATTTTTCATTTTTTAAATGATCCTGAGTCATCCTGAGCAGCACCAACAATGTTTATAGTGGGGATGGTGTGCTGCTGACCTCAACTAGGGACGTTGTGGGCCGGTGGGCAGAATACTTCGAAGACCTCCTCAATCCCACCAACATGCCTTCCATTGAGGGAGCTGAGCCTGAGGACTCTGGGTTGGGCTCTCCAATCTCTGGGGACGAGGTCGCCAAGGTGGTCAAAAAGCTCCTCGGTGGTCAAAAAGCTCCTCGGTGGCAGGGCCCCAGGGTGGCAGGGCCCGTGGGTGGCAGGGCCCCTTGGTGACAGGGCCCCGGGGGTGGATGAGATCCGCCCGGAGTTCCTTAAGGCTCTGGATATTGTAGGGTTGCGTTGGCTCGCGCGACTCTGCAATATCGCATGGATATCGGGGGCAGCTCCCCTGGATTGGCAGACGCCCTGTTCAAAAAGGGGGACCGGAGAGTGTGCTCCAATTACAGGGGGGTCACACTCTTAAGCCTCCCTGGTAAGGTCTATTCAGGGGTCCTGGAGAGGAGGGTCCGTCGGATAGTTGAACCTCGGATTCAGGAAGAGCAGTGTGGTTTTCGTCCTGGTCGTGGAACACTGGACCAGCTCTACTCCCTCAGCAGGGTCCTGGAGGGTGCATGGGAGTTTGCCCAACCAGTCTACATGTGTTTTGTGGACTTGGAGAAGGCGTTCGACCGTGTCCCCAGGGGGGACTTGTGGGGGGTTCTCCGGGAGTATGGGGTACCGGGCCCTTTAATATGGGCTGTCAGGTCCCTGTATGACCGTAGGGTGTCTGGGCTCTCCCTTAGAGATAGGGTGAGAAGCTCGGTCATCCGGGAGGGACTCAGAGTAGAGCCACTGCTCCTCCACGTCGAGAGGAGCCAGTTGAGGTGGCTCGGGCATCTGGTCAGGATGCCTCCTGGACGCCTCCCTGGTGAGGTGTTCCGGGCACGTCCCACCGGGAGGAGGCCCCGAGGAAGACCCAGGACACGCTGGAGGGACTATGTCTCTCGGCTGGCCTGGGAACGCCTTGGGGTTCCCCCGG